CTGCAGGGTCCAGGCCTCCCCAGACACCCTCCCAGCCCCTCTGCAGGGTCCAGGCCTCCCCAGACACCCCCCCAGCCCCACTGCAGGGTCCAGGCCGCCCCAGACACCCTCCCAGCCCCTCTGCAGGGTTCAGGCTCTCCAGACACCCCCCCAGCCCCACTGCAGGGTGCAGCCCACTCAGCCCTGTGTGGCACGGGAGGGGACTTTGTCCTTGGCTGGGGGCTGCTGGGTCCCATGCACGCCTCTCTTGCCCCACGCGGCAGCTGCTTGAAGGCCAGTGCTCCACGCGCAGGAGGGGATGAGGTGCCGTCCTGGCTAAGGACCAAATTCTGGTCCCACCCCACAAGAGCCAATCGGTGTAGCCTTGCGCTATTAAAATTGGCATAATGGAGCAGACACTGGGCAGGGAGCCAGGACTCCTGGGTTCTATTTCCAGCTCTGCCACCGACCTAGTGTGTGACCTTGGTGACGTCCCTTCCCGCGCATCCTGTGTCTGTCTAGCCCGTGAGCAGCCTGGGGCAGGGACTGTCTCACTCCGTGTCTGTGCAGCTCCTGCTGGGGGCTGTGGATAATCACTATGGGCTGGGAACACAGACCCCCATCTTGCCCCCTTTAGCCCCGATCACCGACTCGTAATGTGTGTGTGTGGGTGGGGGGGGGCAGTGCCATGTGCCCTGAGCAATCCGGCAGCCCCATGTCTTGTCACGGACCCCCTCCCGTTCCTGGCTTCCTTCCCCCCACCTGTCTCATGCCCGCGACCCATGGGGCGGGGGAGGGAACAGCTTTTCGTGTCCCAGTCTCTGCTGGGGAGGGAGAGGAGTTTTGGCGCCGCTCAGCAGGCTGCGCAGACAGAAGATGTTGGGCTAATGGCCTTTAAATGGCCCCAGAGCGCAAGACTGGTTTCTTCCTGACGAGCATTTCCCTGCCAGGCCGTGGTCGCTGGACTGTGTCCCCTCCCCCACAGCTGAAGATTGATCGGGGGGGGGGGGAAGCGCAGCAGCTTACGGGAAGCGCAGACTGTTTTGTGTCTGTGCCCAGGGACCTCGAGGCCTCGTGAAAAGGAGGGTGAGGGAGACGTCCGCCGGCGGCGTTGGATTTCCAGTCTCGGCTGCAGCCCTTCCCGCGTGGGGAGAGGAGGGGCTCCTTGGCGAGGCAGCTGCTGGCTTGAACCCCGCTTCTGAAGGACAAGGCTGTGCTTTGGAGGTAGCCAGAGAGAGCTCAGCTCAAAGGGATTCCTGGGGAAACTGAGCCGGGCGGACGGGGCTCTTGGCCCCATTGGGGTAAATCTGGTGCGATCTCTGGTCTCACCCCGGCTTCATGCTAGGACCAGAGCACCATGGGATATGGCTGGATAGATAGAGGGGGTATATCGGGATAGATAAATAGATCGAAAAATTGGAGAGAGTCCAG